GACATTTTGTTTGGGGGGTTATAGCTAATATTGGGCGGTAGCACCCCCCCCCGCCGAAAATCCAGTCTATGCCATTCAGTGTCCAGTAGACTAGTACCTACTGGTGTCTAGCAGAATAACTGTATTTATGAAAGAACAGTGTGCTAACGTTTTCGATCCTACGAACCAAAGGACGTTCAATCCCTGACATCTAACCCTATGTAGAGAGTAGTGGAATGTTATACCATAGAATCTAGCTAGCTTGGCAAATCATGCGGGGACACCGCGTCAATCTCAGAAAGTGCATGCCTCTCCTAGCAGTTAACAGTTGAACCTTTCCTTCCACCCTTCTCGTATGCACAAACTTTCTACTACCAGTATGAACAGTTTTCAATGTCCAGGGTCGGTTGTACTAAGGCTGGATAGCGCTATCCACTGGATAGGATTTTTCAACCGTTATAAAAATGCTTGAGAATTGTTCAAACTACGAATATGGATCCCACAAATTAAAGGAAACTTTAATTTTTATATACTAAAGTTTAATCTGGGTTATGCTAGTTAGCGGCCAATTGCCCCAGAATATATCTCAATTAGTTTCGCTTACCCTCAAAGTTGCCATCGTGCAGCCTGTTTCATCAAATGAAAGAATCTTCAGTTGGCTGCTACATTTCACGTCAGTAATGCTGATTGAAACATGGGTGGATGGGCGTTCAAACATTCCACGAATGAATACTCATTATATTCTTCATAGCAGAACCTCCATAGAGCTGACACATCTTTAACCCTTTAAGTGGCAATTCACCCTCTGTCTATTGTGACATCAGACGATTTTACTCGTCAAGTGGAGAGCACTGCTGTTCAATGGGTAAATCAGATGCCAATGCATCCTGTTAACCCTTTAAGTGTCCATTCACCCCGAAGCACCCTGGTTTATTATGTTAACAAACTTTTGTTGGTAGAGATTCAACGATCTGAAAATACCAAAACGAAAATACCTTGGTCAGGAAGTTAGTATAGCCATTTATTAGTTTACTCTGTCTAACGCCAGATGATTTTAATGGTCAAGGAGAGAGTGTTGCTAATGCATCCTGTTAATAGTGATAATGTTGCTTTCCTTCGATGTCTGTATTAGTGAGGCCTAACTGTTTGTTCATATTTTGTTGGGCATAGCCAGGGTTCGCAAAAGAATTCGGAGTAGGAGGCTTTTTGCAAGAAATGGAGTAGGAGACTTTTCCCCGAGCCTGGGGGAGGGGGTATTCGAGGGCGTCTCTCTGTGAAGATTCTGAAATGTAAACCCTGGCATTTCCAGTGATTTTGGAGTTAAGGTTTTGGAGGTTTTTAGTGTCATTTCATCCAAATATTTTGTGTAAAATTTTTGTCACAAAAGCAGGAAACCTTTCCCTTGGTATTTTTGCAGTAAGGAGGAAATACAGTATCTTGGGTTATAATTTCTAGCGGTGATAACCGGTGATTGTCTAGACGGAGACAATTGCCAGATACCGGCTTCTCTCTGGAACCTTGTATACAGGGTGCATCAGAAAAAAGTAGACAATTTTGAAACGGCTCTCAATTTCACAAATACGTTTATTTTGTATATAAAATTTTTTTAATCATGAAATTTTTGATAAATATAGATTGTTTGGATACTTATAATTAAAGGACTTCAAATTGAGCAAATTTTCTGATATTTTAACTATTAATAAAACCCATAACAAATTTCTTGCCCATTAACTCAAGATGCGTGTTAAGCTTTTAAATTTCGCGCGCAAGCTATTTTTAATGCTGCTAAAAAGGAACCCCTCCTGCTCTGGGAAATTGATATATTTTCATTGGAAAAACTCACTTTCCAACTCACTGTTTTTTGTTGACACGTTTTTTGTTGAATTGTGTGAGAATGGGCTCGAAACTGTCAATATTTGTTATAATTCCGAATATTTGTGTTCACCTTCGAGTCCGAACCGAAACTATTCGGAAAGTTCCGGAATATACCGATGTTTGTCGTTCTTAAAACAACTTGAAAAACTGTGTCCGTGATTTTGTGAGATGCAGTAAATTTCATTGTGATTAAACCGTGATTTGGTTTGGGCGATACTTGGAGGCCATCCAAAACAGAGTATCTTTACATAACGATACTTCGGTGTCGTCTGTTATACTAATCTCTTTCATAATTTCTTTCGTTCAGAAATCAGCTGAAGATGTAAAAGCAGACAATGAAAACGAATCAAGTGACGTTAAACAAGGACTTCTTGGGAGAATATCCGGTAGTGTTTTTAACACAACAAAGTATGCCGCGGGGACAGCTTATGGTGGAGTCACGTGGGTAGCTGGTGGGGTGCTCTCTACTACTGGAAGTGCCATTGGAGCAACTTATAACACTGTGTCTTCGTACTCACCCATAACTATATTCAGGAAAGAATCCAAAAGTAAATCAGATTGATATCAGTATTTATTTGATGACTAACATTGGCATCAATGTGAACTTGTATTAATATTAAGAGAGTCTATCTTCTCCAGGATTTATTTGGGTGCACATAATACAGGCAATATTATTTACAAAAAAGTTTTCCCAAATGGTCACATGAAATATTGTAACGATTTCGACAGCAGGCCTTCATTGATAAGTTTATTAGTTAAGGCTCACAGGTCGAATCCTTTGCTATTGTACGTTCCGCAAACACTAAAACAACTAATATTAAGCGTGGGAAAATATTATCGTTGATAATATAATATTAAATGTGAAAAGAACTTTCAAAGGGAGGACAAAGTGTCGTAATATTGTAAATCGGGTCCATGTTTAGAAGGACAATTTGGGAATGCACTAGTACAGGAATAACCTGTGACCTATAGCGATCTTACATAGGATGGTAACGGAATGACCTCCACCAAAATAAACTTCTTAAAATAAATGGTATTAAAAATTCTTTGACTGTTTATTATCATTCCGTAAATATTCTAAAATTTGAGAACTTTAATACTTAAGAAATAGAAAACGAGTCGCGTGCGCTTGTGGTATGATAAT